GTGAGTGAGTGAGTGAGTGAGTGAGTGAGTGAGTGAGTGAGTGAGTGAGTGAGTTTCTCGTAAATTATTTTCCCCCTGTGTGCATCAAAAGTTTTGAAATGGCCGAAGCAGAAATCCGTATTCTTCATAATGCAACATGAGCAACACAAGTAGGCTACCTCAAGAAAAAATGTAGCACTATTCCATTCTATTATTTTGCCCTGTGTGCATCAATAGTTTTAAGTAGGCTCCGACTCCTAGTGACAGTGGCTTGAAATCTTTGCTGAAGTCGATGAGCATCCTATTCCTAGCCATGCTTTGAATGATATATTTACTGGTGAAATGAACTCGACTCCTTCTCTCTTTCTTTTCCCTTGACCTGTTGGCTTCCCAGAGCTGAGTTTAGTTTGTTTCAGCCTAGATTTCTTCATCTTGCCTCCATTTCCCAGATTCCACTACTGAAAACTGCTAGCCTATTCTATCTTGTGGAGTTCAGAGCGCGGCGGCTGACTTTCGCCGACAGAGCAGCATAATATAATAGAATGCAATGTTGCATGCAATTTATGCTCAGTTGTAAAATAACGTGATTTTATAAGGTGATTGTGGACTTTTTTTTTTTTTTTAAGAAATGAGAAAACAAGTTGATCTTTACACCAATCAAAGTCAGAACAGTTTTCATCATATACTTTGACATTTCTCTGAATTAAAAATAATATAATTTCTTCCTGACTGTACTTCTTTATTATGATTATAGTTTTTTTACCCCCTGACATATTTGTTTATCTGTATATTTTATATGTTATTGTTGACTTTAAATGAAATAACTGGGCAGCCGGAAGAGGAGGAGGAGTTTTTACGGAAGCTTCAATATGATTGGTTCTCTGCCAGCTTTGAGCGTCAGAAGGGATCAGGAGGAGAAAATAAAGAAAAGCGAGAGCAGAGCTTAAAAAAAAAGCAGGACCAGAAACATTATAAAGAGAAGCCGGATAACGCTGCGGCTTGGTGTTCGGTTACACGGAGGAGGAAAAACACAACAGGCAGAGTAAAGGAGGACTAGTGTTCGGATTAGTGGAGGATTAGGATAAATGAGGGGAAAGTCGGGATGAGCAGAACACTGGGAAAATGTTTTATGAAACCGAATGGGAAACATTAAACCGGATCTGGGTGGATTTTTATATCCCTGCCTGTCGACCTGCCGCGGATGAGTTTTAAAGGAAGAAAGTAATCCAGTACATCAGACATCAACACGAAGATTGTTTGTGCCGATGCCAACGGCTCACTGTGGCTTCTTCCATCATGGCCGGATCATGAGGTGTTTAACTTATTTGTTACTGCTTCCAGAAACACTGAAAAAACCAAAGAAGCTCCAAGAGTCCTGCGAGATTCTCACTTTATCCTCTTCGAGCGCCCAGAAGGGAAACAAGACGACGAAGATGGCCGCGGAGTTGTTCTCCGCAGCCAATCCCGATAACACCGCCTCCGCCAATGGCACCGCGGTTCCGGTGGTGGAGAAAACCAAGGCCGCGGTTTGTCCTGCCAGGAGCGGCGGCGCCGCCTTCAGCAGCACCGGCGGCTCCAGCAGCGCAGCCAGAGACCCGAGCAGCCCGCTGAACATCAGCAACAACAAGACGGATCCAGCCAGCAGCAGCGGCCACCCCACACTCAGAGAGAGGTAGCCCCTCCATTCATGTTAGACCATCAGGACATCCAGTTATATGTGGAAAAACTATAGCTGTCACCCATGTTTAATAATAAGCATTACTGGTTGATATTTAAGAACTGTTAAATATAAAGACCATAACTCTCATTTATTTGAATTAACTATGTTTAATTATGCATGTATAAGTATACTCCGGAAAAAGGAAGTGCCAAATATGGTCAACACTAAGCAGACAGTGAAGCCAACTAGTATTTGAGCCTTTTATATGTTCCACAATCCCAGGAGCATTTGTTAAACTTGCTTTTTTTTTTTTTTTTTTTTTTTTTTTAGGAATGCCTTGATGTTCAACAATGAGCTGATGGCTGATGTTCACTTTATTGTTGGGCCCCTGGGGGAATCCCAGAAAATACCAGCTCATAAGGTACAAATAATGGTGAAAGTTGCATCAAATTTTGTTGTTGGGATTAATATTTGCAGCCAATTTTCTGCCCTTTAATAAACAAAAGTCTGATCTGTTCATCTCCTGCTTGTCCCAGTATGTTCTGGCTGTGGGAAGCTCCGTCTTCTGTGCCATGTTTTATGGCGATTTGGCCGGGGAAGAGTCTGAAATCTATATCCCAGATGTGGAACCTGCTGCTTTTCTAATTCTTCTAAAGTAAGCCAAACACCAACTCTCCTCACACGCCCAACCAGAGGCCCACATCACAAAGCTCAGTCAGTGTCACTTCAAACAGCATCATTACTCATCCGAAGCAAAGCGGAGGCAAAAGCCAGAGGGGTGGGAGTAGAGCGGCTCTATAATTGCTGGGTTTCTCTTTACTTCTAGTAAGTCCTAATTTTTCCCCTAAGCTTTAGCCCATTGCAGATATTAACTGCACTTATTACATCATATAATGTCAGATTGTGCATATTTAGTTTGGTAGTTTTAAATAGGACCGTATCACTGAGTACTGGTGAATTTTTCTATTATCCTTACAGAAATCAACACTTTCCTTTAGGATAAAATATTTTTTAATTACGTTGTAATACACTCTGGTGGACTTTCCTGAAGGAAAGGTAGAAAGTTATGGATTAGTCTTCAATTTTAATTGTCTTACGCTTGTTTTTGTGAAGTCGTTTTTTAACAATATAAGCTTGTTAGACACATAATTATGCATTTCAAAGATTTTTTTATGTGCATTCTGATCATTTTACCTTCTAGATGGGAAATTGAAGTCTTCTATTTTTTCTGTAAGCCGTTTAGCCTTTAATTATATTAATAAATGTTAATGTCAAAGATGACTAACAATCTCAGCAAAGCATTTTGATGGACATCTAAAGCTTAGTTTACACACTTGGAGCTTCTCTGCTCGACATGCAAACAGGGCAAAGTGACATTTCTGAGATTGCAATAAAGTCTAGGACGCTTTGACAGCAGCTTTTAACTCCTCTTGTGTTTTTGGCTTCAGTCTCATCTTCCTGTAGTTTCTCTTTAGGATTTAGGTCCAGTCACATTTTTTTTAGCAACTTGTTTTCATCTAAGCCTTTCATTAAGGGACTTGGATAAAGGACTCAGCTTTTAGCAATGATCGTTTCTGGTCTACCTCTATGGAGGGGGATGAATGCTGAACAGCATCAGTCTTCCCCATGATAGACTATAGTATATATTATCTAATATAACATAATAATGTACACTGCAATTCTGTATAATCAGAAGAATTTTTTTTTGTTTAATATTTTGAATTTCTGGACATGTGCTACAGAGGAGATGGAAACATTTGTGAAACAGGCTCTGACGTGGCAAACATTGGCCTCCCATGACTGATCAGCTGCTTTCCCTGCCATTGGCCCACATCCAAACATTAGAAACTCTTTCTTGATGTCTCTGGGTGGCATGTACCATCACTAATACTAGCTTACATGATAAAGAAAATATAACTTCCTGGATTGAAAATATTCATAAAACTTTGCTCTATTATACATCCATGGTCCGAGCTAGTTTGACTCCTTTACTTCCCGTTTTTGGCAGCAAAGCATAACCTAAATGTATAAATGCATCATCTTTCTGAATTTCTCCGTTAGATGCAAACATGCATAAATTTATGTTTTTTTCAATGTTTTTAAAAAAGTTTGCCCAAAATTAGATGAAAACACATATGCTCTCAACAGTTCCCAACAGTGTAGCATAGCATCTTCTACTCTTTTAGCAGATCAAGTTGGCGCTCTGTTTGGCATACACGCCTAGAAATTATGGTGCAGAGTACGTCTGTCAACCATACTTTTCCTGAAGATTTTAGAGATGCAGGCCAATATAATCAGATCTCAATAATGAATCAGCATTTTCAGTAGCTATAAGGTTTCTTTGTGTGATGAATAGGGGCGAGTATTGGCATGGGTGTTGTAATACGATACGCATCACAATACTTGGGTCATGATGCGATATTGCAAAGTCCCTATATATTGTGATATTTTTCCCAGCTTTGAAAATTAAATGCATAGATAAAAAAGAAAGTGCTACATAGGTTCATCAATTTGATCATTTAATTATTTTGGTATCCATGTTGTTTAGGGTTTGAGTCAGCCCACGTCTTCAACTGTGATTTGCCTTTAATACAGATAAGGGGGACTAAGGGGCTCCTCAGCCCTACCTGCCAGAGGGGCAGTGCAGTGGTAGCCCATTTCCCCCTCATTGTCAAATGTTTTATTTTTTAAAGTAGATATTATGAACTGAAAGATTGATATTATATTGGGCAGCCAAAAATCACGATATATAGCCAAAACGCCTTTTTCTCCAAACCCCTAGTGACGAGTTAAAAAAATCTAACACAAGTATTGAAAAATTGTTAAATTATTAAAATGTACCTTTTTTAATCCTATTTCTATGGCATTTCTTTATACAGATACCTGTACAGTGATGAGATTGATCTGGATGCGGACACGGTGCTGGCCACTCTGTACGCTGCCAAGAAGTACATCGTCCCAGCACTGGCCAAGGCCTGCGTCAACTTCCTGGAGACGAGCTTAGAGGCCAAGAATGCCTGTGTACTGCTCTCCCAAAGCTGCCTGTTCGAGGAGCCTGAGCTGACACAGCGCTGCTGGGAGGTTATCGATGCTCAGGCTGAGATGGCGCTGCGCTCAGATGGTTTCTGTGACATTGACCGACAGACACTGGAGCTCATCCTGCAGAGGGAAACACTCAACACAGAGGAGGTGGTTGTGTTTGAGGCAGTGATGAACTGGGCTGCGGCAGAATGCAGAAGAAGAGGTTTGGGGCCCAGCACCCACAACAAAAGATACGTACTGGGCAGAGCGCTGTTTTTGGTCCGTATTCCCACCCTGAGTGTGGAAGAGTTTGCTAATACAGTGGCACAATCCGACATCCTGACTCTGAAAGAGACGCACAATGTCTTCCTGTGGTACACAGCATCCAAAAAGCCTGTGCTGGACTTCCCCTTGACGCCGAGGCAGGGCCTGTCCCCTCAGAGATGTCACCGCTTTCAGTCCTCTGCTTACCGCAGCAATCAGTGGCGCTACCGTGGCCGTTGTGACAGCATTCAGTTTGCAGTTGACAAGAGGATCTTCATCGCCGGTCTTGGGATGTACGGGTCAAGTGGTGGCAGGGCTGAATATAATGTTAAGATTGAGCTCAAGAGACAAGGCGCGGTCCTGGCGCAGAGCATCTCCAAGTTTGTGTCGGACGGCTCAAGTAGCACGTTCCCCGTGTGGTTTGACCATCCAGTGCAGGTAGAGCAGGACACGTTCTACACGGTGAGCGCTGTGCTGGACGGAAACGAGCTGAGCTACTTCGGTCAGGAGGGCATGACTGAGGTGCAGTGTGGGAAGGTGACATTTCAGTTTCAGTGCTCCTCGGATAGTACTAATGGGACAGGCGTGCAGGGAGGACAGATCCCAGAGCTGGTCTTCTATGCCTAAGCTGCTCCTTACTGCTGTTGTGGCCTTTTACCCTTCAAGCTAATGTAGCATTGAACCACTTTGTTAAAGTCACACTGAATGACGAGATTATCCTAAAAGCTACAGAAATGTTCTATTTAATTTAAGGTTATTTTTATTTAAGTGCTGATTTAAGGTTATTTGCTCTGCTTCTTGTGTCAACGGGCTGCATCTGCTGTGGAGATAAAGCTCATACTGTGCCTATATAATCGAGCTCAAGTCCAAACCTGGAAAGATTAAAGACGAAGTTTGAGGCTGGATGCAATGTTGTTCCTGTAGTTAAAGCATCAATACAAATAAGTTCTAATTAAAACTACAAAAAGATAAAAAAAATAAATTGGTTTCCCATTCAGAGAACTACTTCAAGCATCTTTTCTTTTTGTAAAATAGATGCCAACTTAATGTGTTCTGTCGAAAAAAGGCTCATGGCCTGATGAAATAAAAGTTGACATGCGAACATCTTTGTACAGAAAGTGAAATGAGTTGGTTAGAATTGGATGAAGTGTTAATTCAGTATTTTATTTAAGGGGTTATAAAATAATTTTTTGAAGGATATGACTGTACACAATGCACGAGGCAGCAAACATGTAGAGATGTCGTGTCTCAAACCCTGAAGCATCAACTCTTTCCTGTGCTTTTTGCCTAGTTGGGAAAGTTGAGGTTAATTCTGTGTGGCTGTTACACAGAATTAACTAGACAGAAATAGGCATTTATGGTGACCATGGTATTAAAATATCTGAAACGTGAAATGTGGACATGTCCCCACCAACTTTGGCATGGAAGGGACAGTCCCCACCAATAATTTCCGCTTTTTTTTCCCCCTCGCCGCTGATTTACTTTACTTTGTTTTTTCCCTCGCTCTGCCTCTGCTCTCAAGTCCCTCCTCTTGAAATATCATGGGATCTGCCGCTTTGGGACATAATATTATTTGGGGTCGCTATTCACTGCGTACATGGTAGCTACATGGAGGAGGAGAGACAGCAGCATTCAGTGAATTTTAACCAGCAGCTACTTCAATATATGTTTCAGTAAAAGTTAGGAGACGGATTGGTTAAAAAATTAAAGATGCCACCGAAAAATCAGTTTCTTACACATGTAGAGCTTTTTCAGTTAAAAAATGGCAACAGAGTTTACATTTATTTAAGTTAAAAAAGCTGGGCTTCTTAAAAGACCATTACTCAGAGTTACAGAAGATTAAAATTAACACATATCTGTTTTCTTTTTGAACAAAGAATCACACTGCAGAGCTTCTAGAGATCTAGAGACCTGAAAATGTTTTTCTCTTGCATCATTATATTGGTAGACAGGTTCATAAATCTGTTTTTAAGACACAATTAGGGACAGCTGCAGATTTAAAGGTGAAACAGATTTACTGGCATATGCATCATGCAATAAAATACGTCCCCACATTTACAAGAAAAAATAAGCTATACTATAATATAATTCAACATATTTTTTTGTCTTTTGTAGCTCAATGAGACTCAGAAATATCTGTGCAGCAACCCAGAGACAGACTCACAGGACACAGACTTAAAATTAAAATAGAACAAACCTACAAGAATAAAAGCATAAATAATAAAATATAAGTCTCTTAGAATGTACATATTAAAATTGTAGATTGTTGCATTCTTTGTAAGTAGGCAAACCTGCAAAATCAGCAAGGGGTCAAATGCTTATTTCCCCCACTTTATACATCATGTTATTGGTTCTTAGTATGATTCTTTCTTTTATTACATAGTAAAAACACTTAGTAGTTATCAGGGGTTGGCTGCTGCTTCGGATGTTATCGCATTAAGAGGTCGTTTTTTGCAGTTATCAGTCCCATTGAATAGTTTCAGATTGTGCCAGTAAGCTCAGTAGGTTGTTAACACAGAGTATATACTAACCTAAGGTAGTTCTTTCCCCCCCTCTCCACTTAGAAAAATATGCACATGCACAACCCTGTACCCGTGTCCCTACCCAATCCATCCCAGAAGCACGATCAGTTCTGAGCATGCGCCATCAGGTATTTTACACATGCGCATTCAGATATACATCCGGGTCGTCCTCGATTTTTTGATAAAAAGACCTAAATTACGTTTTCCCTCCCCAAAAATAGTGAGCGTACTAAAATATAATGTGTTAAAGGTTAATAATATATTTGCTGTGAAAATAAATGCCTTAAAATCCTGTTTTATCAGCCTTTAAATCTAGTCTTTTTGAGTTTTCGTTTCGTTTTAATGTTATGCTATATAGTGCGGAATCTAAAGAAAGAAACAGCTGAAATGCAGATAAACATGGTTTAATCATATTTTGCCAGACTGCTCTGAGCATGTCTGATGATGTCAGAGAAGCAGTTTAACGAAGAAAATGTAAAAAGCATCAAATTTGTCTCAGATGTGTATTAGCATTCTTTAGTTAGTTAAGGATAGAATCATGATTACATTATTTATGGACACCTGGATGTGTATCTGTTCGCGCATGCGCAGGACGGATCGGGTAGTGACAACCCGCTCCCAAGAGGGAATGCGTGTCAGAGCATGCACAAGCTCATTTCTCCACATGCACGCTGTTCAAAAGTTGCCTGAACGTCCGCCTTAACCCCTTAACCACTAGTGGGGACTATATAGTGGACCCTATAGCGAACTCAGTTAACCGACTGTTCAGACAGATGATCACTGCTTTTTGCTCCCTGTCGGTCATGTAACACCTGCTCCTTCACTGCGTGGTGTCTGCGCCATCTTTGTTATTAGACGCCACTGTCGGGTCACATCGGTCCACTGTGACAGGAAATCTAATAATGCTTTGGGAGGAGAGCTCTCCGCACAAAGCATTCCGGGATATATCTGCCTCTTCTGAGACCTTTCTTTTCTTCTCATACTCTTAGATCCATAGACACTTTTTCTTATGACGCTTGGGCATTTTCCAAGAACTACAGGGAGAAAAGTCTTCAATGATTGACAGCTCACCATATATATGCACCTGTGTGCATACTCAGAAAAAGACAGCTAACGGGACGAGCAGGTAGGACGGCCTTATGTAAACATATCCCTAGAATGATTGACACTTAGGAGGACCACTTATTTAGATGATCCACCTGGAAATAAAAGATAGTCCTCCATACCTTTAAAGTAATTTCAGTAGTTCTTCATGTACGTAAAAACAAATAAATAAAAATAAAATGATCTGCATGACAGAAAAAATAATTAAACCAAAAAAAAATTATAAAAAATCTCACATGCTGTCAACTGAGTTGTATAATCCTCTCCCTATATAAATTGGGCTAGAAACAAGCCCACCCAACATCTGGACGAGAAACTCTGGTAGATTTGTATATTTTCGTCAAAAAACAGCTGTATGTCATTTTTTTGCACACTTAACATTTCTATAAGGAAAAGAGAGAGAAAAAACAAATATCTTTCCCTCCAGATAACATTTTAGTAGCACTGAACAACACTGTTTTAGAGAAGGAGAAAGTAGAAAATAAGGTAAAAATCAATACCTATAGCTGGAGCATTGATGCAAAGCTCTCTGGACAGCAGGAGAAAGGTTTTTCCCAGCACCCAGACATTCACCTGTAAACAGAGACATTAAAAAGTTTTGATACCTGTTAGAGGAATGTGAACTTCCTTCTGCCAGATCCGTCTACCTGTCACAGAAGGTTGTACAAAACCAAGTCTAATAATTATTATAATTGGCTTTCAAAACACTCAAGGTCACTTTACAAAATTAAAATAAATTCCAATAAAATTCAAATCTTGTATTCTAGCCCTAAATAACCTCCAACTTCTCTCTCAATCTGCAGGATAATGATCCCTAGAATCTCAAAATAGAATGGGAGGCAGATCTTTTCGCCTTTAGGCTCCTCTCCTATGGAACCAACTGCCAGTTTCAGTCCGTGAGGCAGACACCCTGTATTCTTTTAAGGCATTGTTTAAAACTTTCATTTTTTTAATAAAGCTTATAGTTAGAGTGGTTCATGTTATGCTGAGATATCTCTATTATTATGCTGCTATAGGCTTACACTGCTGGAGGACATAGAGACAATTTTTCATCATTTCGCCTCATTCCATCACTGCTTTAGTTCTGAATTATGTAATAGTTCAACTCCTAACTTTATGTTCTTATTATTTTTCCTAATAGCAGCTACATCTGGCCCAGTAATGTTTAGCCATAACCTCATCCTGACGTGAGGCATATATAGGCTCAGCTTTTCTGTAACTGTACTATATGTACTCTTTCACCCCTCATGGTGCGTTCACACCAAATGCGTTTTCAGCCTCAAAAGCGTTTGAACACCGACATTTTGGACCCTGGTTCAAACTGTGGTCAAGTTGCTTTGACTCTTCAACGCTCTGCTTTCTGTTTGTTTATCTGCTGTGTTCTGTAGCTGCAAGCTAGAAAGCAGCTTGGCTTTATTTATTTCATGAGTTGGCAAAATACTTTTGACACGTTTTTAGTGAGAAAGACAACCTCCAAACATCATCTGTTCATCAGGATTATGATCCCAATAAAATATGTAGTTCTATCCAAGAGTGCCAGACCTCCAGCGTACCGCCGGTCAGCAGCGCTGGAAATCCCCGCTGGAAGCTCTCTGCAGCTGCCAGCTTGTTTGGGATTTTTCACTGCCTTTGGTAGTGGCTGGAGATGAAAATGAAGAATTTCTAGTTTTTTTTATAAAAACTACAAGTTCCAGAATATATAGCTGAATATTTTTCATCAGCAGGTTTAACATTTTTAGTTAATTTGGGTATTTATAAACTGTTTCGCGATCGGTTCATAAAAAATGTTTTAGTGCAGTAATAATGACCAGAGCTCTCCCTCTTTTCCTTGTACATAATACATTCTTTCGGCTTTTTTTTTTAAAACCTTTGTAGTTTAACCCCTTTACATTGATTTATTTTTTATATGCAGACAGCTCTGCAGAAACAATAACAGCTTGCATGTAGTGTCTGTCTCCCCCCCAAAAAACTCAGCTTTTTTGATTGTTTTCTGAACTCCAGCATAGAACGGTCTGACGCTCAAATGCCAGAACATTGGAACTCTGGTTTTGGTCAAAGTGCCTTGTTAATGCATGCATGCTCGGTGTGAGAGATTGCTGTAGAGTCAAAGACACAATGATAGCAAATGTCCACTGTTGCCACATGCACATCCAGGAGGAGAGAGTGCTGTAAAGGCAATGGTTGTATGTTACCAGCTGTTTCCTTAGAAAACTTTTGACTAATCCCACTGCATAATGTGATTGAAACATCTCTGTGTAGGGCCTTGAGAAAGCATGTGTTCTGAATTAGTGCTGTTTAAACAAATTGAACTGAATTATAAATGACACAGTGCCATCAGAAGGAGAAAATGTTTAACAGGAGGGTTTCAAGTCTGAATTTAAACAGGCATAGGTGTCAGTGTTCGGGATATCTAGCAGTCTAGAGTTCTACATTGCAAAAACGATCTAAAATTAGGTTTAAAAAAAAATCTTCATTGCATTTAGCCTCAATTTGAGCAGGTAAATAAGATTATTTGCCAATGGAATGAGTATTTTACTCTTGAAATAAGATAATTATATAATATGCACTTGAACTAAGATGATGCAGTTGTTTTCTTTTATTTTAAATGCCAATTGTCTTGATCCATTGGCAAAGTGTCTCACTTTTCTCTCCAATTCAAGAACAAAAACTGACTTATTTTAAGAAAAAATGACCAATTGAGATTTCTTTTTTTTGCAGTGTAGAGCTTAGAAACAGAGCAGGAGAAAGCTCTGCCTCCCCTAGAGATGAGAAAAAAGGGGTAATGGTGGGCTCCATCAGCTATACTTACCAAATATTTTAAACATTTTTTAAAAACTATTTGAACTCAAAACATTTTAAAACCGACAATTAAACAGAAGCCCACACTGTATAAAAGCAATCTCTTGCAACCAAGCAAATGTATTCACAACATTAAGGAAAATTTGAAACTTTTTCCACTATAAATAGTATTTGAAACTTTCCACAGCAAAATCTGACAAGCAGCATAACATAAGAGATTGTGAGTGGAGACGGGTTAAAATGGTCTACATTGGAACCTCCCATCACAGATGTTCCATTGTGTTTTAGGCTGCTGCCCGACCAGAAGGCTCTGCAGAAAATTCAACCCCCAACCCACCCACTTTTTATCTTAAGGGGCATTCTGATAGATGCTGTTGAATAGCAAAGGCATGGAACCGCACAAGTGTTACTTCCAGTATTGAACCCAAAATTAAGACTTGGGTTGGGGGTGTTGGCTAAAGCAGAAGGCAGCAAACGCTAGAGAGTCAGGTCATGACCTTAAGTAAAAGCTCTTTCATTCCTGGAAACACACCCTGCCCAGAGCTGAAGGAGGGCCAGGCACCCGAGAGGACTTAGCTGGGATGGACCCCCCCTCCCCAGTTAGGAATCTACACTTAAACTAAAAATATGGAAGAGAAAGCAGAACAAGAGAGAAGTTGAAATAACTAACTATAGAGTAGAAATCCAAAAAAATATAAGGTTCATTTTTCTTGTCTAACTTTTTTTGGCCTTTCCTCAAGTGAACAAACAGACTAGTTAATTTATAGAAATATTCATTTTGCCCTTTAAAAAACTGATGATTTATGTTATCGTCAGTAAACATGTTCAGGTCGGTGGATATGTCAGACACCCCAATCAGAGTATTCAAAAAAGCTGTTTGAATACTTCCTTGATTCATCAGTCTTGACCAAAGCCTTGGGTTAGGGTTAGAGGTATTGTCTGCAAGTTGGGATGAGATGAAGGACTGATCAGATTACTAAAGTGGCCCTGGTGACAGCATGATATGCAGCGTTTAAAGCAATGTAACATGGATCAAGAGGTTTTTTTTAACCCCTGGTAGGACAAGTTACGTGCAGTTTGTTCTTGGATATTTCATAAAGCAAATCGTACCAGTGGACTTCTAAAATACAAAGATGAATGGGTCTGGGTGTTTTTTTTTTTTGTTTTTTCTAAATCGATGAAAGCTGTTTAAATAGAACAGGTAAAACCGCAAATTTAAAGCACACAAAAAACAGCAAAGCCACGGATTTAAAAAGTGAAATACGTTTGATGCGCCTGAAAGTGAGCGGTCATGCCCACACAGCCTTCTGCAGCTAGCATAGGTACATATTGCCATTTTAATTCTCTCCCTGGAGACACTTGTTGTGGTTCTTCTTAGCAGCACAAGTGAAGAAGCTAATCGTATGTGACCCAACCTTGTGAACCGTGTCCACATTAGTGGGCATCTTCAAAAAGACAGAGCTGTCCGAGTGCTGGGGGAAGGTTGTTCTGGCATTAGCTCCTTTTCTTTTACTGGGGGATTGGGCCATTCAGGGGAGGCAGCACAGCAGAGGTAGCAGCTGGTTGGTGGTTTATACAATAGAAGTGTGACCACTCAGCTCATCTCTGACCTCAGGTTTTGTTAAAAAAGAGGTCCTGCAGTGACTTTTAGCCATTATTCTGCAGCAGCATATGTGATCATCTAAACATTAACAAGCAGATTCTAAACTCTGCATACTCTGCCCTATTCCTGGTATCTAGTAAAATCTCCCTTTTGGACAATGTGCGTGCAACTCAACCCTAGGTGAGAGATAGACTTTGATGGGCATGAGTGGAGGATAAAACAAAAAATGGCATTGTGGCACACGCTTCAACTCCAGAAAATACCACCACCTCCTCCTTAGGCTGAGTCTGGATGACAGTCGCTTTCAGCAGTACTTCCAACTATCCTTGACCTGGCTCAGGGTCCCGCTTTCCTGCATTGGGGGACGAATCACCTGAACAACAGAGGGTTAGGTGAGGCGGCATTCTGGTGCTCAGAGAGGAGCAGCATGGAATCAGTGCAAGAACACTAGCAGAGAAAAGAACATAACAGAGGACAGACTGCCTAACGTCTTGCACTAGGTAACTACAGCGGGAGATCAGGAGATCCCTCAGAGGAATCAGCGCTCTAATAGACAGATCATTGGCCAAGTAAGCCAAAATTGTGCAGTTTGCCTTGCTTAAATCGCCATCATTGCCTCGCCCAGCTTAAATTCACTCCAGATCCACCCTCTACATAGAGATAACATGGGAATCCTTCGCTCATACTGCCAAAATCGCATTCAGTATGAACACAACTTCAAAGAACATATGCTACTATTTTATGACATGTGCCCAGTTTGGTTGTTGAGCAGGCTTTTAGCTCACATCTCACGAATCGCAAGAGTTGCATCCTATGGGTCATATTGCCGTGACACAGCACAGACAATTAGAAGGAACATTATTTTGATGATCCACCCGGAAAAAGAACATCCTCTGCTCCACTATACCTTTAATCAAATGTCCACACATGTGGGGACATTTTCTCAAATGAAGAACACACCTCAAAAAAAAAGACTCAGTGGAGGTTGATATCAGCTGATATCTGAAAGGCATTTCTGATGCAGGCCAGTCATTTACATAATGAAAGAATTATCAAGTGGCTTGGGTGTGGATCCACTGGCCCACAGCTGCCCAAACATCCAAGCCTGGCCACAAAAAAAAAAAAAATCTACCACCAGTCTCCAAATACCAGGGTGTGCAGTCTGGGGGAGGGGTAGCCAGCTACTGCAGGACAGCTGGGAGCATAAAATAAAAGCCCCTGACCAGCTGTGACTCAAAGCAATGTTTCATTATGACCACACCACACCACCCACTCACTGCAATTCAGCTGCCATAAAACATGTAGACTAATGGGGGATTCTATATTTATCATGCAGAGGACTCTGGTTTAATTATACAGAACAGATGTGAGGCCAAGGGGTGAGAAAAATCTGCTTTTATATAAGCTATATTTAGGGATCAGGAGCAGCTTTGATTTAGTTTCTGAGCCATGGTTGGCCTTCAAAGTAAAAGGGGGCAACAGGTTTTAAAATGCAATTCATTAATAGAATGGATTGTTATAGAGTATATGTGTAGCATTATCAGTTTAAAAATAGTTTAGACTGAAAGAAAAAAGTTTGACATTTTAACCTCAGTAAGAAAATGTCCCACACAGCATTCAGTGTCACCAAAAATATTTTCAGATTAAAAAATGATTTTTAAAGCTAACTTCATCTCCTGATCTTAGACTGTACACAATTAACTATAGCCAATTACTGAGCCTAGCTCAGTATTAACAGTCACGACCAGTTCTTCTAAATAAATGCGTCTGTCAAAGTTGGCAAAAAGATCTCCAAATGAAAATCATGTCCCCGTCTATAGCAAGGGCCATTTTGCATAAACCAAGACTCTTATGAAGTTTATTTGGCTCTCTGCCAAATTAATTACAATGAAAACATTTTAACAGAACCTGCCAGTTCAATCATCATGAGGAGACGGAAGAATATATTTCTTCTCTTCAGCAAAATTCTTTCAGGAAGTGCTTACCTAAAAAGCTTAGGATCACCAGGGATATGCAGGATGACAACAATCTGAAGCACAACAGCAGGTTCACATATAAATGGTAATGAAGGCCTAACCAAAGCCCAGTCCTGTTCCGCGATGCTGTGGCATGCCCGGATATGCCAGTTATAGTCGTGCTTTGGTGGTGCCTGAGCAAGAACTGCAGATATTTATAGTTAAGCCTTAAGATGGTCCAATATTTTGCAAAAAAACAGGTGACAGTGCACCACAAAACCAGTGGAGAGAAGAAACTCTTCACACACACACCAAAAATAGATGTTACCAATCTGAAACATTATACCTCAACTTAATCATGCTTCTTACAAAGTTTTAGACTCAGTCAAACCACGAACAGGGAACCATATTGACAGCTGTGTAAAAATCAAAAGTCTGTAAAACTTCAGATACTAAATAAAGCGTGTAATCTAACTTTATAAGTCACATTGTCTATTCTCTCTCACCATTTTTTCCCCCTCCAAGTCTTCATTTCGTTCTCAAAGTAATGATTTATATTTGTGAAAACTGTTCGTCTAATTCATAAAGAATGGAGCAGGAAGTCCACACAGTTACAGACCAATAGTTCTAAGGCTGAGGACACAGCAACGCCGTCATGGCAAGAAGAAACAGTATACTCGCACAGAGTTCAATCTGTTGGGTATAAACCAGGCATAAAAGAAACCAGTTTCTTTTGAAAAGTGTCCAATACAGCTAAATTACAATTAGCTTCAGTTCTATTTGCCAAGTTTGTGGGCACAAACTCTTTGGACATCATCCCTGCAAAAAAAAAAAAAAAGCTGGGATCTGTCGAACCAAAACCATGATCAAAACCATTCGGGTTTGGACTAAAGAGGACAGGAACACTGAACACACAGACTGGGGAGTGTTCAAAGGGTGCAGCTCTGGAGGAATACACAACGTCTGTTATTCTATATATTCATTTTTGCAGTAGTGCAGTTCTGAGAGGTGGATCATCCAGGATTAGAAAGTAAGAATCCTGTGCAGAGAATAGTTCTATTTACATTTCCACAACACAACCTAGGTGCAAATCACCTGGCTAAGTGATAAAGATGAAGAAAAACTGAAAGAGGGTATCTGGCCTTTAGTTCTTCCATAAACGCTGGCACTAAAGCTCCACCACCTTGCCTTATCTGCACTCATTTGCTACTGGAACAGTGTTCTTGTTGCCAACGGGCCCATGTGGTGAGGAAGGGACAATTATTACCTGCCTTAACTCATATTTGTAGTCACAGAGGACTACAGGGGAACTAAACAAGCTCCTCAGTAGATACATAGAGAGAAGTTGGAGTGTGTGAACAGTATCAGGTTCCTTGGCATTCAGAGGTCCTCCAACCTCTCCTGGACTGAGAGCACCTTCAACCTGTAGAATAAGGGCCAACAGCAGCTCTTTTCCTCTGAGAACTGAATTGGACTGGACACTACTCACCTCCTTGCAAGCTTTTACTAAAAACATCCTGTGTATACAAAATGACAAAGTGTGTCTAGTCTAAGTAAGCATGATTGTGCGTCAAGGCTTAAAAATACTCGCATGTTGGGTTTTCTTGCTGGTTTTGCAAACCTTTTTACTCAGACTCCCCACATTGACTGAATTACAGGCTCTGACCAGGAGATGATGCTTCTCTTTGGATCTTAATGTCCACAATTCTTGACAGAAAGAATGTTTTAGTACAAATATTGATGTTTAAAAAGGAATTTTGGGGACCAGCCAAGGGCCCATCAAGGAAAGTGGGGAAATTTTTAATGGCTACAACTGGCTCCCTTGGGGAGCAGTGGGCTGCCATTGTGCGGTGCCTGGGAAGTAGTGTGGGGTTAAAGGTCTTGCTCAGAAACCCAGAGTGGAGGATGTGGGGATCGAACCAGATACTTGCAACCTTCTCAGAGCACAGGCGCACTGCTCTAACCCACTAGGCCAGCACTCCCCAACGGGCAGTTATTTCAGACTTTATGTTGTATGTGATGGAAGTCCAATAACCTCACCCCTGTTTGCTGTTTTCAGTCAATTAATGAACAGTAACAACACTGCATTTAAACACACTGTTCCACTGGAAACTTCTGCACCATTTGATGTGGGTAAAGGCAAACTTGTTCATGGAAAACAATTTTACATACTCCAACTTGGAATGAGGCTGGCACACACTGTAAGGGCCAATTCAGAGGAGTGCAACCTAGCAGCGACGCTGCACAAAAGTGGCAAAGCATACGGGCGATCACAGACTACAACACACCCTCCATCCGGTGGGTGTACCTGATGCGGACTTCCTAAATGGACTAAACAGCTTCTTAGGAAGGTTTGAGGCACTAAACAGCATTTAGATAGTGAAAGCTGTTCCCCATCAGGGAGTGGAGGCACTTGACACAGCGGACATGTGGAATGACCAAGGCCCCGATAAAATACCTGGGCGGATGTTCAAGGAGTGTGCAGGTCAGCTGGTTGGCGTCCTCACAGACACCTTTAACACATAGCCAAACCAAGACATAGTGCCAACATGCTTTAAGTCTGCCTCCATCTTTCTGGTCCCAAAGAAGCCTCAAATCACCTTATTTAATGACAACTGATCTGTTGCACTGACTCCAATCATGATGAAGTGCTTCAAAAGGAAGGTAAAAGAACACATCTCCAGACTATCCCCAGATTTCGTCCTGTGCCAGTTTATCTACCGATGGTGCTGCTCTACTAAGGACGCCATCTCCTCCTTTCTTCACCTGAGCCTATCACACCTGGAGAAGAAGAATGCCCACGTGCAGATGATGTTCCTTGACTTCAGTTCAGCTTTCAACACCATCATCCCACAGCATCTGATCTGTTGCCTTGGTGAGCCAAGGACTTCTTCCACTAATTAAAAAGGTTCATAAGCCAGCTTAAATTCTTAATAAAAGTCTGAACTATTTAAATGTTTTTTAACATCATATTCCTCTCCCCAATGACCAATAGGGTAAGTCATACCACAGATGATATTGTATGGCTATATTTTTACATGCTTATTGGTTTTATAAAGCTGAACTTTGTAGGTGTACCAAACCAACAAAGTTTGGATATTTTTGGATATTTTGTGTTGTACACTTTTAGTATGGATCCCAGGCATTACTTATTGTAAATTAAAGCCCTGATGAAAATGCTGAATTTTTCAAAAGACGGACAGAAAGTTGCCCAAAATCCCAGCCACCCAGGCAATGCATCATCAGTCTAACTGTAATCAAGATAATGATTGAAGAACAAAGCTGTGAGGGCAAGAGTCAGACATGGTCATTTCATCATTAAGCTGCCTGGGGGACAGTGTGATAGGCTTCCCTTAAGATTGTGTAGCACCTCCATTGTGTTTGTGTCTGGCTGGATGCTTGATATGATGTCTGTACATTGCAAGTTTATTAAAGCAGGGTTGTTGGAGTTTATTTTTTTACCACGATCCTCGGACCCACTGGACTGCACATTTAAGGTGTTCCCCTGCTTTACACACCTGACCTACGGTATATCAATTTGTGACCAACAGGCTTCTGCGGCACTTAATTGCTGCTGAGGAGTAAATACAATCCTTTTAATAGCAATTCCAATTAAATAAATTTAAAATTTGTTTAAAAGAAGTTTCAGACTGATTGCCAGCTGTTGCAATACTGAGTGGCGAGTCTGGTGAGACAACAGATCTATCAGGGAATTTAGTTCTTCCAATAAGAAAAGTCGTTTAAAGGTAGCCAGGATCTTTTTAATTTCATGGATGAATTCAGAAATATAAGTATAGTTATTGTTTAATTGAACAATCTTTTTCCAATATAAATCTTCTGATTTTAACCAAATGACAGAAATATCAAAAACTGATAGGAAGGTAAATAATTTATATTTACAACATACCTGAACAATGTCACTGAGATCCAGCAGCATGTCTCAGAAAAAAAAGTCAAGGAAAACAAAGTGAAACATAGAAGAGAAGAACTGATGTGCCATTTTAAACATTCATATTTCTTTTACAAATATTTTAGGTAATTTTCAGATGCATAACTTTCATTTGCTGTATATATGCTGTGCTCCCAACATGCTAAAATTCTTCATGTTCAGGATATAAACAATAATTGTTATATAACAAAGATGTAACCACAATAAAAAAATAAAAAGGTTAGAAAATATAAAAGGTGGTATTGGAGCAGGGTCTTATACCTTCCCTAATAAGGTCTATCATCCTCAAGGAAAAGCCCATATATGATAGGAAAAAAATATTCCCAGGTCCCAAATAGAGGCGTTTCAAACTTGTGGAACAAGGAGTATTAAGCTTCCCTAGATTAAGAGCTTTATGTATGGAATACTTCCTGCACATCTTCCATTCTAAATTAATGATAAATTAGTGCCTTATCCTTTTACACTCAACGAGAACTTTCCAAATATGTGTAACAAGAACAAGTTTGACAAAATAAGGGTTCAACCAAGTGTATTTCTTTTCCCTAGGGTCTCTGTCTTGTAAAACCCAATTTGAGCTTTTACCCATATTATAACACTACATTAAAAATTATGCAAAAAGTGGTATTTTTGGGGTTTTTTTTCCATGCATGTAATTTAACTGCATCCTCTGAGCATGAGCCAGTCCCTTTACTTTAAAATTAGTTCAAAAAGAAATGCAGCCGCCTTTTCCCTTGTCTCCCTACAAGAACCCACTACTTTGACTGTGCTGCACCTGCCCAGTAAACAAACGAACACATTCTCCCATCAGCAAGTGGTGATATGAAGCACAACTCGATCATTTCTGCTCAAATTTGAGACGAAGTGGCTTTTTTTTAGCAGCTACTCTGCACAGTGACAGCAACTGTTACTTTGAGATGACAACTAATGAAGTGGGAGACAGCAACAGGTTTAATAATCTGAGCTGAAAATGTCACTTTAAATACACATCAGACTGTCTACACCTCAGTTAAAATGTTAAATGTCAACATTGCCAAAGACAAAAAGACAAGTAACACCTTTTTAGAAGGGTTATACTTAAGCAATTTTTCTAATTATTTGAAAATAATTGTGTTCTTTTTAATTGCATTTAAATGAACCAAAAGGAAAATTTCCAGTGACTGGAGCAGATCAAAGATGTAAAACTTCAAAGCTTGAAAAAAAAAAAAACAAACAGCAATTTAGCATAAACCCCTCTGCCTTTGCATGCTAGTAGGAGGGCTGTGCTTTGGACTCATATCTGCAACTAGAAGACCTGGGTTCTCTAGTTGCAAACATTAAATTGGACAGACATCTTTTTGTAAACCCGGAAATTTACAGGTAAAATATGGCAGTTTCTTTGAAATAACCTAAAGACCAACTCAAAAAAATTGAGAAAGGTTGTGATCAGACCATATAGGACCTTAGAGTGTAATTAAATGACCCCAAAATATTGTTTGAAGATGAATATAGGGAACAGCTTCACAAAGTTACTAAACTTCGTTCTATCTGCAATAATATCTGATTGCTTTGTACAAGCCTTAAAGCTTTAATTATTTTATGAATATATAATGAATCTAATTGTGTTTTGGAGTAATATTTTTTGCCATGAGCCTCTGGACATCTCATCTCATGAGGGCTCATCTGGCTCAGACATTTGGTTGCCACGGTTACATTGTCTCGGGGGCTACATGTGCACCTGTCTCCAGGGTTTCAGGCTAGATTAACGAGGCTCCTCTTAACAGGGCCTCACAAAAGAGGTGGCAGCAGTGCAGATGAAACAGAAAAGATAATCCTGACAGATGCCATCTGCAGATCGACAAGTTGTAGGGAAAACAAAAAAGAAAGAAGATCCTTTAGTCTTTGTCTATTGGACAAAAAAAAAAAAAAAACAGTGGCTGGAATTTAAGACAATATATTGGGCGGTGAATTTACAGATGTTTTTCCATGGCGTCAACCTGTTCAATAATAGATTTGGATTTTTTTTCGGCAATCAAAATGGAAAAAAAAGCAATCCTTCAAAATAAGTATTTAATGACCATTAAAAAAGACAATAAAGGGTTCACCAACCAAAGACGATTCTATTATTATAAAGCAATGCATTCCAGGTTTGAAGAGTATGAGTGTTGCAGTTTCTGAGCTAAACCAGCTGGGATGCGATCAAAAAAAAAAAAATGCATTAAAATCGTCATTTACTGACGATTTTTACTTAAAATATCATATAATACGTACACACAAAAAACAGAAGTCAAATCCTACAAATCCTGTGAAAACACTGAACTGCTGCAAAGAGTTAAGGATAAGCAGCAAAGAATAGCTTCACTAAAGCCTCTTTTCCACTTAAAATAGCATTTTAACGCATATTTTTCAAACATGGGTCAACCTCCTAACAATCGGCATTTGGTTCCCTTCCCACTGGCAAAAAAAGCTGGGTCTAACTCCAAGCTGGCAAGGTGAATGGCCTCCGTCCCGCTGCCGCTGCATGTTTGGTAATGCCATCATCGCGCAGGGTTAGCGTTGATGATGTCCCATGTAAGGAAGCCAGGGTGTAGTCAGTGTTTCGCTCCATTATCTGTCCTAATCCCTCTTACTAGCACTGCGCCATGTTTATCGAATGGAATCAGAGTTCTTTCGGCTTGCACACAGCTCACAGTGAAGGCAATAGAAGGCATTTCTGCGAGCCCCGCAGGTAACTCACCACTCCGCATTTCAGATGCAGTGTTTACACCCAGGACCGCATCATCAAATAGGAGGAGCTTCAGCTGCGTGAAGCTGAAACTCCAGTGACAAAGAAAAACATCATCTCCATAGTGTGACTGCTTTATAGCATTTAAAGCACTTTGCTTGGGCCTAAATAACTTTCACTGCAGTGAGAAAATTTTAATAATTTTTCCGCTGAGGTTTTGAAAAATGAAGTCATATGAAACATTTATTTTGTCCATCCAATTAATCCATTTTCTTCCGCCTATCTGGTGCCGGGTCACTGAGGCAGCAGTCTAAGCAAAAATGCCCAGACTTCCCGGGCCACACCCACTTCCTCCAGCTGTTCCGGGGGGACCCTGAGGCGACACCAGGCCAGCTCAGAGACACCCCTTCAGCATGTCCTGGGCCTTCCACCAGGCCTCCTCCCAATGGGACATGCCTGGAACACCTCCTGAGGGAGGCAACCAGGAGGCATCTGAAACAGATAGCCCGAGCCAACTCAGCTGGCTCCTTTGGACGTGGAGGAGCAACGACTCTACTCCGAGCTCCTCCCGGGTAACTGAGCTCCTCACTCAATCTCGCAGGTGTAGTGACCAATAGCACTGTAATCAGTGAAAAATAATCATTTTCTAAAATATATTTAGTGAAAACCTAGGTTTGGATAACAGCTGACTGACTGAACAAGACTCCTACCCAAAGTCTGGAGCACTCGTAAAATTAGTTTGTACCCCAAAGAATATTAGACATAGGAGAAAAGTAGTGAATGCAGCATTCCCCCCCCCCCGAATCACTCGTACAAATGATTCAAGAACCAATTTTTTCCTACGAAGACTTCTTGCATGCGACCCATTAATTATAATGGCTGGGTATTTGCTGCTGGTTACAGAACAAACTCCTGCATCCTGCGCCACAGTCGCCCCATTACTGATCTACTACCTTCTGGTGGCTGTGTTAGACTTCCTGCATTTATAAAATGATTGAAAACATACAGGTGCATTGCTGCTGCAGAACTATCCCGGTGGGATCAACCTTGAAATGAACCGATGTTTATATTGCAAGATGTCCATTCTCTCCACTAAGCCCTTGTCATCCCAAAAATGACAGCCACCTATATAGAAAAGACTGTTCCTCAGACTGCTCTCATCAAATTTCAGCTGTATCAAGTGTTTTAGTGGGAAGAGCTGCAGAACATAAATGCTCCAGAAAGTGTTGGGGGGTTTTATTTGGCTGTTTGTAGTCATTAAATCTGATTCCAGGTGAGACCCATGCCTCCTTCCCCTTTGTCCTGATAATCTCTATGGCAACGTTACCCGGCTGTAAAAAAAAAAAAAAAAAAGCAAAATATTGCAGCTATTTTTACCTGAAGCACTACCCCCCAAACAGGCATGAACAGATAGGCCTGTGGAAACATACCCATACAAACACACCACCACAAACAGAAGCTGAGACAACAGTGCAGCAGGAAAGGCATAAAACAGCATGTCTGCCTCCCTTTCATTAGACGGGGAAAAAACTGTGCTTTGCCGTCATCCTCACAGGCAAGGGATGTTAGGAGTAAAAATAAACAGAAGTGAAGCAGGTCCAATTCACTAAAAGATTTGCTTTAAAAAAATAGAGTCCAAAAATATCAGGAGCTTGAAGGAGCTTGAGTGATAACCATGACAAACATCATAGATCCATCAAACTGTAAAACAATCTGTCTGTCATCAAAAAGCCAGGCTGCATATTTTAATTAAAATCACATCAAACTAAAGTAAGAGTCTGATAACCAATGAGCAGATATGCACTGCGCAGCTCCTAAAGATGCACTCAAAGATCTCATTCCAAAAAAGTAAAAAAATAAATAAATAAAAAAAATAAATAATCCACAAACTTTGTTTCCAAGTTTGAGGAACGTTTTGCTTCTTTTTCAATTCAAAATTTCAGTAATAGCGTCGAGTTTGAGACTGTCCTGCAGGTTTTAGAGGTCTCCCTGCTTTGGCACAGCTGATTATGATGATTGAAGTTGAGCAACAGCCTGTTAATCAGCTTTCAATTAAAATCAGCTGTGTTGGAGCAGCTCTAAAACCTGCAGGACAGCGGCCTCAAAGACAGACTTTGGGGATGCCTGCTTTATACAGTAGCCAAAAAAATCCTTGTTTGTATAAAGCCTCGAACATTTAGAATTGAAAACGCTTCCTGGATGGGAAGCAAAACATCTTCAAACTTGGAAACAAAGTCCAGTGGATTGTTTTTTAACTTTTTTGGAATGACTCTGACCTGGATGACCGAGAATCTTCACCAGCATCCAAGATCTCTGTTTGACCTACAGAGATATTTGATCAGTTAGTCACAAACTAAACACGTGAAGTTGTCCCTGCTCGCTGTACTGAACACAAACAGATATTACTGTGGGCAAAAAGAGCACTTTTTAAATCGAGGTGATGATAAATAAAGGACATTAGCTCAATGAAACCAATTATCTTCCATCAATTTAAAAAATTTTTTTTTTTTTTTGGTATGTTTTTTATAAGAACCATTTAGGTGAAAGTTTCTTTGCTTTTACAGCAATAGTCTGATGTTTAGTTAATATTAAATCTCCTAATTCTTGCATACATTACTGTATGCAGCTTGTAATTTCTCCTTCCCCAACTTCTTTACTCTGAGATGGAAGGAAATGCAATGCTGCAGCCATTAAACATCTTATGCACTAATTGTAACGCAGAATATACTCGCCTAACCCACTTGAATGAAAGAGATAACAAAAAAAAGAACCAGAGATTATAATACAAAGGATACGAGGGGTTCCCTCTGTGCGGCAGACCAGGTAGATACAGGCAGCAATGACATGGATGGCCTTGCGACCACGGGTCAAGCTTTTATTGAGGGCAATCTTGTAGAAGTTGAAGGCCGTGTCCAAGCAGTGCTGGTTCATCTGTAGCTGGTGACCGAGGGTGTAAATGTGATGTTTTGCTGAAACAACAAAAGAACAGACTCATCACTCAGGAAGTACTTCAGATCAGATCCACAATACTGAGAAAGGGCTGAATAATTTCACTATAAGGTTGCAAATACTTTTCAAACACATTTTTTTTTCTCAAAATAAGAAAGTTCAAAATCAGTTGGTGATGATTTATATTTCAACTGCCAATGTAATATTTATCTAGTTGAACACTCTCACAATAGCAGATTCTCACATCAGAGAGATTGTTCAAAATGCTACAAGTCTGAGTGATGGAAGCACAGAGGAGATAAAGTGTAAAAAAGAAACACATCACAGCTAGTGCCATATTTACTTACTAGTATCCTGATCGCAAGATTATTTTGATACTGTGCACCCATACTCCAGCCAGGGGCGGATTTAGGTAATTTAGGGACCTAGGCAAAATCAGGCAGGGGGCCCTTTGAATTGAGACAACACTTAAAACAGACCCATTATATAAACACAGAAATTTTAATAGAATAGACATACATTATTTGTTCTATGTTTTGTTCCTCTTTTCTTGTTTTCCTCTCTATGTTTTGTACTCCGCTGACTTTTCATGCTGTCTCAAAAGGAGTGAAAGAGTTTTTCCAAGCACAAAGCTCACTTAGCTGATTGCTCCTTCATGTGTTTCCAAAAAGGGAACAGAAAAAGTAAATAACACAGTCCTTATTTTCACTGTAGATAAGCCATGATCTTCTCTTCTGTTCTCCATTTTTTCACTTGTATGAAATAACAGCTGCATGAATCACGGGATAGAGGAGAGCAGGAGGCGGGGTTACCAATCTACTTGCTCTAGATAGCAGAGTTCGCTGCTTTTATAGGTTGTCGCCAAAGTCTCCAGTAGCAGTAAAAAGTCAGATTTGGCAATAGGCACCAAATAGAGCGACAAAAGCACTAAGTGGGCAACACTGCTCTTTGCATCGTGTTCAAATGTTTTGTTGCTGTCCGTTTGGACCTTTCTGAACATGTGCAGCAAATGGACTGATCCAATGTGGTTGTAATGGCATTTTAGCGAAATAATTTTTATCCCAAACATAATGTGCACAAATAAGGTATAGCTGTGTTAACCATAAATGCAAACAGTTTTATGGGGTCCCCAGGAACTTGGGGGCCCCAGCAACCGTCTAGTAATGCCTAATGGTAAATCCCCCCGTGGAAATACTATAGCAATGCTTATTTATTAGTAATGTCAACTGACCACCTCTGAAACAAAGTGCTGCAAACTGAAAACTAGAGGTGGACAAATGCATAGGCGAGCAGCCGTGACGTGTGAACAACAACTAGCAACTTCCTCTTCACTTGCTGCCCATTGCAGTAGCTGCAACATTAAACTGGGGGTGCTATGAGGCATCCTGTGTTCCTAAACAAGATGCCTCTTTTTTATGTACATAGATGCAAAGAAAAACAAAGGCATCCTCACTACTTTTAAATCTGCAAAATTGAACGATAAGATGGAAGATGGAATGGTGTGTTCTACTATTGAATTAACACAAAAACATTAAATTCATAATGAATTCACCAGTGACATCTGTTGAAGTATCAATAATAAATATTTATTAGCTGACCCAAATTATTTTTACTCATATTTGTTCTTGTATCGAGTATCCTAGATACTCCTAGATGAATCCTACAAATCATTCATTGAATATGAAAGCATAAATATGACCAATTAAGGACGTGTATGTATAATGGAAAGCTCTCTGTATGGTTGCACCAGATGACTTTCAGTATGCTGATAGCCCGCTGGTAGTACGGGGTGGAGTGAAGCCACCGGAGGCCATGTTGGTACTCCCTAGCTAGACCGGTCGCCATGTAAAAACTATGTGCGCTACAGCATCGCACAACGATGATGTCCTCATTTATCTGGGGGATTTAAGACTTTTAAAATAAATAAAAAAATCATCACTTTAACACACAACTGGGGTTTCATAGAATAAGTTGATTACTGTAACTTACAGTTAAAACTAGGCACATCTCATTGCAGAGTCATTATGAAGTCAATAAATCATGTAATCTTACATATTTTACAAATCCATCACAATAAAAATAATCTGTAAATGGAGCATAATAATACAGATGTGCCAAACGTGCCAAATTGATGATGTACATGTAATAAACATGTACTGATGACATTGTTGTGGTAATTTCATATAATTTCAAGATCACACATCAAGACTGAATTACAAGTACATGTCTGCAAATATGAAAATACTATTGCATTAACATTTTTTCCATGCATGATGCCACATACTTTTATACTGCGTCTGTGCATTAGCCTTTAAAAATGCTTGAGTTGCTTTTTTTTTTTCCTCATTAATATAATGTGCAATATATTTCAGTATCCCCTTGACCGGACCCCAGATAAGCAGAAGAAGATGGATGGATAGATAGATATTTCAGCACGTGACTTTTTCCAGATGAAAAATACGACAAATACCATAAAAACGACATCCACTTAAGAATTACTACATTGCCATTTCAAAGTAAATTACTTTCCATTTACTCAACTTTCCATTTTCTGACGTTAGACAGTATGTTTGTGGCTAAGTCACTCAATGCCTTTGAGTCAGTGCGAGATAGCCAGACTAATGTTACGCAGACAGACTATAGGATGGGATACGTCAGCATATATATGGATTTTCTTGGTAAGTACGTCCACTGACTGAAATTACATCAGAAAGTCTTCAAATGCTAGCAGCCAAATGCTACACACAGGCATTTTTATGGCGTATCTCAGTGGGAGTGGGGAGTACCAATATGGCAGCCGGTGGCTTCACTTTTTTCGGGCTATCAGCAATCCTGAGAATAAATAGAGATCAGTGGTCTCCAAGCCTCACCTGCAGCCTTTATCATGAAACAGGATTACTGGCTTAGCCAGCTAACTTCAGGTTTAATTCCTGATCAATTAACATTAGCCAATAGTTCGGCTAACGTTAGCAATGCCACCCCGTTAAAGTTAACCCCAACGTCGATGTCCGCTCTGCCCCCCCATCCCCCTCGGACAAGATGCTGTCAGTGAAGAGGAAGGTGCCTCATCTTTTCAGTTTATCTGATTGGTTTTTATGTGTTTTATTTTTATTTTAAGCTGGAATATGAACAAGGATGTGAAATTTACATTTACATTTTTTTATTTAATATAAAATAAATGTTTAAAATATAATGAATAATTTTTGTCTCATCTGTATTTTATATCCATGCATGCTTTCTGTGTGATCAGATATAACAAACTGCTCCTGATCAAGTTATGTTCATTTTAAAGCAGCCACACTGTTGCGAATCAGCTGTTCAAAGAGACAGTTTACAAAAGAAACTACTGACTTTTTAAGAGAGAATATGTTTCATCCATGTGGATAGACTAGGAATAAGGAATAGTTCACTCACAATCCATAATCGTTTCTCACTAGTCTGTGTGCAAGCGTTTAGTAATTTCAGAATTATTACGTCACTGAGATCAAATCCCAGAAATTATATGATAAGTAAATACTGGATAAACCACAATAGAGCAGTCTTATGCGTCACTGTTTATGGGCTGCATTGAAAGAGTACAAGTATTCCCCCTCATCCAGGAACCACTACATTACTGGGAAAGGATTGATGACAGCTTAAAAATGAGCAAGATGTGTGACTTGCTAGTTGTTCACATTACCCTCTGGAGTCAGGAGGACTTTGGAGCAGATAAAAAAAAAGACACTAAAACATAATTTCATAAGGTTAGTTTGGACTTTTTAATTCAATAAGGTTTTGGCGACAATAAAGCCGGAAGCTGATGCCATCATTGCATCATAGTGTTTAGTCTGAGTGAAATCATATGGATTTCTGGGCTGTGGCAGAAAGCCGCAGGATAAATGGTAAAAATCTGCTCTGCTTTTAAAATGGTGAAAGTTTTCAAATGCAGCCCTAAATGTAGAGAAATGCCTCAATGTCTTTCCTACTTACATGAAACCTTATAGCATTTCTGCTTGTCTCATACTGACAATTTGCTTCATAATCAATGATCCATTTTATTAACATTACAGCCTTCTCCTTAGAGTTTTTTAACCTGCTGATACAAAAGCACACACACCATAGGAAGAGGCACAAACAAGTTGAGGTACAAAAACAGATGGAGACCCAGCCAGCCAGGTGTGCCGTCTGTCTGCAGTTCATGACCTCATAAGGACTTAACACACAAAGCCAGATGTGTAACTTTACTGAGTTGGATGTCTGAGAATGTGAGGGGCTGGATAGTCATGTCTCTACATGCTGAGCAGATATGACATCAGAAAGTGCGCATAGCGTGTTAGACGAACAATCACAGGGAACTAAAACCACAACTTGGATTAAAACCCTCCAGCAAAATAAATTATATTAAATTCACTTCAGTTTATTTACATAGTGCCAGTTCAAAACACATCTCATCTCAAGGCACTTTAAAGTTCACCAGATCATACAGTCAAATTGATTTAAAGTCTTCTAAGGAAAACCAGTTGATTGCATCGACTCATTGACTTGAATGCAATCCCTCACACTAAACTATACAACAGAATTGCACTGATGAGTGCATCATCTCAACATCTCGATCTAAACCCCAGTTTGCTATAAAGAGAATCATTTCAGTACCAAGCTAGAAGGATTTATGCACCAAAGAATAAATCCTTAACTTTTATATGATTTTTACTCAATACAATGTGGTTTGTTCGTGTTTATAAGCCAAACATGTAATCAGCAAGAGGTAAAAACAGAGAAATCAATAAGTGAAGGCACCACGTCGTCCTGTACTGCCGACATCATGGTCATTGTGGATGCTGCTATCGAGTTAAATTGTAACCTCTGATTATTCTTAAGCCCAGGGGGTCTTGGGAGCAAATTGTGCCTGAAATATATATGTGAATTAAAGCAAGAACAACTCCCTAACTACAAATTGGAAATACAACTGTTTGTGTGTGTGACAGAAAAGCATTGGGTAATACTTTTCAGGTGGAAATACCATTTTAAATGTCATCATGTCTGATTAATAGGTGATTAAACAAAGAAATAAAATTGAAAAATAATTAGCCTTGCCAAAATGTTTTCCAAAATAAACACTGCAAAACCCCATTAAACCCCATTTGAAATTCAGGAAGAACCCTCAGAATGTATAGGTCCACATCTTGAACATAACTCAAGAAAATTTGGACGATATAAGTTGAAGCATGTTTGTTCCATAAAGGTTTAGGTCGGTAGTGTGCTAGGCAAAAATGTGATTTTGGCCCAATGCCAAATGCGCAAAAATTCATTATTTCACACATAAAAAGGGGATCTGGTCAGACAAACATCCTGATTACCATTATTGGAGACCTTCTGCATAAGAAAAGGCCTCTGCTCCTAAGGTTTAGCTGTTGTTTCATTGAAATGCATCAATAATATCACCTAACTGAAAAGAAAATAAGAATAACAGAGCAAGCTTAAGCTTATGTAACACGTAATGTTATATCGCCTTAAATCGTCACACAATTACCTCCAACCCCTCCTTGGAAAGTTCTCAGCCTCTAGTTTCCAATGATGCCGGCCATTAGGGGGTGTGGCTAAAGATGAATACCTGCTGTTGCATTACTCCCGCAGGGCCACACATGTCAGGTAGAATTTTGAACAAGAACAGCAACGGATGAGATTTTTTTTTAAATCAAACCACCTGAGTTCCCCCCCGCCTACAAAAGGAGCTAAAAGCTATTCCTTCTTCTATGTTATTTGATCTTAATGAGACTTTTTGTTCAGGCAGGCTTTCAGACAGGACATAGTGTTTGCTGCTCGCCGCTTTCTATTAACTTCAGGTGTGTGCACCTCTGTTGAGTTCAGCCAACTGAACTGATCACGGCGTGCACAAGAGCCCTCTTGCTTTTGCTGCCTGCATGGTGCATGCCTTTGAAAATAACACATTTTACAGTGCAGTCTGAAAACCCTTTAAGCAGAAATGTCAAACTCAAGTCCTCCAGGGCCGTATTCTGCAGCTTTAAGTAATCTGTCTGGTTCAACACATCTATCAAATGGCTTGATAACCTCAGCTACAGTAGTTACTACTATGATGAGACACAGGCCGTTTCTTAATTCACAAGAATGCGAATACAGACTTGTGTCCTCGCCAAGTAGGTTCTTGAGAAGAATACAGGAAAGTATGAACTAGGGAAGAACGGGAGCAGGCAGGATATATATGGGTCAATTGGAACAGAAGCAAACTGGTGACGACGTCGCACGCTCTGCTCGTCTGGAGCTGCATTTCACCTCCTGTTATTAATAGTCTCCAGATCAGGGGTAACCAATTAAAAATCAGCGGGGTCAGATAAAAGAAAATCAACCAGTAAAGGTCCGGAGACATTTTTAATTACCGGTATGATCTCTTACTTTAAACAGAATTTAACACTGAAATAATAAGCAGGTTTAAATGTATCCATGTTAGTCCAAGTAGAGAACAACAATCTTTCAGTTTGATATATACACAATTTCCTGATTCACATATTTTATAAAACACCTTTTTTTCCCCCACTTTCTTATGGCTTAATGCAGTGGTTCCCAAAGATTTTCTTCTGGGCCCCCCTTTGGATTACAATAAAATTTCCACGCCCCCCC